ACCTGTCCTTCCTCCCACCTATCCCCTCCTCCCACCTCAAGCCGCACCCCCATCTCCTACCTACTAACCTCATCCCGCCCCCTTGAACTGTCCATCCTCCCTGGACTGACCTATCTCCTCCCTACCTCCCCACCTACACTCACCTTTACTGGCTCCATCCCCGCCTTTTTGACCTGTCTGTTTCCTCTCCACCTATCTTCTCCTCTATCCATCTTCTATCCGCCTCCCCCTCTCTCCCTATTTATTTCAGAATCCCCTTCCTCTCCCCCATTTCTGATGAAGGGTCTAGACCCGAAATGTCAGCTTTCCTGCTCCTCTGATGCTGCATGGCCTGCTATGTTCATCCAGCTCTACATCTTGTTATCTCAGATTCTCCAGCATCTGCAGTCCCTACTATCTCGAGCTTCTGACAAAGTGTCTTCTGGTGCTCTGATGAAGAGACCCGAAACGTTAACTCCGCTTTCTTCCCACAGGCACTTCATGAACTATCTTTCATGAGAATATCTGCAGCATCAATTCATAAAAATTGAATACCGTATGCTTGCATATGATGGTGGCTTGGTGGTAATGTCACTGCATATTTAATGCAGCGGCCCAAACTAATGCTCTGGGGACATCAGTTCAAATTCCACCAGAGATGCTGGTGGGACTTCAGCTCAATTAATAAATCTGGAATATGTGGCTAGGCTTAATAATTGCGGCCACAAAGCTATTATTAATTGTCACAAAAACCCATCTGATTAACTAATAAGTGTGCCATCTTTTACTGGTCTAGCCTACATGTGACTCCAAACCTACAGTAATGTGAATGACTCTTAACTGCCCTGTGAATGTCACCAGTAAGCCACTCAAAGGCCAACTCACGATGGGCAACAGGACAGCTCTGCACCTTGTTGTCTCGGATTCTCCAGCATCTGCAGTTCCTGCTATCTCTGGTGCAGATCCTTGCCAGTGACCACAAAACAACAAACTAACATTGATCAATTAAAATTAAACCTGGTTACATTTGTCTGCTGAAATATCTTTCTATGTTTTGAAATAGTTTTCAAACTTGTCCATTAACATTCTTTGGCCATGATTTTCCATTCTCTAGCGTGGTAAGAGGAAATGTGTGTATTGAGACACAATAGAGAGGGAATGACAAAATCTGCTTCTCAATGTCAAGAAAATGTTTCCCAGTTTTCTCCTCAAGCTGTAAATAGTGACTTATTTCCATGTATTTGCATCTCATTAAAATTCCAACTCACTCGATTTACATCTGGCTTCCGACAGGAAACTCAATATCTCAAATTCCTGACATGTAAAAGAGGGCAAATACCTAATGACTGCTGCTTGCTGAATGCTTGTTTCCACCTGCTTTGTCTACACAACATTCATGGTAACTTTGAATCAGGGATAGCAGGAACTGCAGATGCTGGAGAATCCGAGACAACAAGGTGTAGAGCTGGATGAACACAGCAGGCCAAGCAGCATCATAGGAGCAGGAAGGCTGACGTTTCGGGCCTAGACCCTTCATCAGAAATGGGGGAGGGGAAGGGGGTTTTGAAATAAATAGGGAGAGAG